CTCTCTCCCTCTTTGGAAGGTGGCAAGGATTTCCCTAAATTTGCGAGACCATCGACTGAGAATGAGAAGGTTATGCCTGCAGAGCAGGCGATGGAGGAGAACATATCGGGATTGGTACAAGGTATGGTATCGGATAAGGAGGAACACAGACATCTTCTTAGAGAATCTCAGGCCTCTTTGGGGGGAGTTAGACGGAAGATGCTTACGAGATAGAGTTACTCCAGGGACTCAATTGACCAGCCAATTGTGCCTAGGGTCCTGAGATTCTTGGACTCCAAGGCTAAAGCATGGAAACCGTACAACACCCTAAATAGGAGAGCTCGGGCGATTGCGGCTAAGGAGGAAGGGGACGTGCCATGGGCCATATGTATTAGGGACCAATTGGCTGGGGTCCCTGCTATAGAGCAGCTACCGGCAAGTACGGAGGTACTGGATGTGTTGAAAGGCAGTGAGGCCATCATGAATAATTATTCCTGTTCCAAGGAGTCTGGGGAGGACTTGGAACAACTGTGCGGCGGGGACGCTCCCCCTTCGGTGAACCATGCTTAGTCTCCTCTATTGGAATTGTAGAGATGTGCGTAAGAAGGAAACGGGGTTCTACTTACAGCACCTAATTGGAACCCATAATGTCTGCTTTGTTGGTCTTCTGGAAACCAAATTAGAGTCAATTGATCGGAAGGATATTGATAAATTGGCTGGGAGAGATTGGGAGTTCGAATACCAGCCTTCTAATGGTAGAGCTGGTGGTATTTTTATATTATGGAAGAGCAGTGTTCTTTCCTTCCAGATTTCTTGCATCACGAGTCAATACTTGATTGGGAGGCTCACGATGACTAGCGGCGTTGATTTGGAAGTGGCAGTTGTGTATGCTAACAAAGATACGGGTATCAGACGCACGATGTGGGAGGATATCTCTAGAATCCGCAATCGGAACTCTCCTTTATTAGTCGGGGGGGGGGCTTCAATTGCATTATGGCTCAGAATGAAAAAAAGGGTGGTAGGGTGTTCCACCTAACCCCGGCCGCCTATGATATGGCTGAGTTTATGGCTGTTAACGATCTTGTTGACCCGGGATTCATTGGACCTGCATTTACATGGACCAATAATAAAGATGCAAGTAGCAAGTTTTTTTCCAGATTGGATAGGTTCCTCATAAGCTCGGATATTATGGATGAGTTTCAGGGATTGCGGGTCTGGCATCTATCCAGACTCATTTCCGACCACTGTCCCATTCTTTGTTCTGTTCAGGAGGGAACAAAGATCAACTACTCCCCTTGGTTTCGGTTTGAGGACGTCTGGGTGGGATATCCCAAGGCCCGACATTTGGTGCTGGAAAAATGGAGGGTGGCAGATCATGGTAGCGAGGCGGTACAATTCCAGAGGAAATGCAGTAAAACGTTAAAGGCCTTGTTCTTCTGGAGTAGGAACAAATTCAAGCTACTCAACAAACAAAGGGACGAGCTGGATGGTGAGATCCGGAAGTTACAAGAGCTGGAAGGGGAAACGGGTGGACTGAATGAGGCTCAAACCGAGAAGTTGAGATTCAATGTGCAACTTTTTAATAGCACCTTGGCCGGCATTTTGACTTGGTGGAAACAGAGGGCCAAGGTGAGGTGGATTGAAGAGGGAGACGACAATGCTCACTTTTTCCATTCCATGGCGTCGGCGCGGAGGAGAATGAAATGTATTGAGTCTATTAAGCGGGAGGATGGCAGTGTGGCGACGGAGCTCGAGGAGATCTCTGATATCTTCTTCCAGTTTTTTGATCAGAAATGGAAGGGACAGGAGATTGTGGAATCAGATTGGCCGTCTCTCGAACTCCACTAGGGAGCTATCACTCAGTTCGCTGGGATCCTAGCGGGGGATGTCTTAGAGGATGAAATCCTGAAGGCGGTTACCTCACTAGGTCGGAACCGAGCCCCGGGCAGAGATGGAATTACTGCTTCTTTTTTCAAGGCTTACTAGGATATTGTCAGCGACCAAGTGATCCGGACTTGGTTGGAGTTCTTTCGTTCGGTATCATGGAACACTCTTGGAAGGAAACGGTTGTTGTCTTAATCCTCAAAGTTATGAGCCCAGACCACCCTTCTAAATTCCGACCCATAAGCCTGTGCCAGACAATTTATAAGGTGGTGGCCAAGGTGCTCGTTAATAGATTAAAGGGGGTATTGCCGCTAATTGTTTCGGAAGAGCAGGCTACTTTTGTTCCTGGGCGCTTGATTACGACACATTGCCTCCTTAGTCAGGAGTTGATTCACAAGTTAAAGGTGTCCAAGGCGGCCAAAGGCTTCTTTGCTTTGAAGGTGGACATGGAGCAGGCGTATGACAAGATGAGCTGGAGTACATTGGAGATTGTTTTAACAAGGATGGGAGTTCCTCCGAGGTTCTGCTCATGGGTTCTTGGCTGCGTGGTGGGTCCGAAGTTCTCCATTCTCATCAATGGGAAACTTTCGAACTCAATTACGGCCAAGTGTGACTTTCGGCAAGGATGCCCACTTTCACCCTACTTGTTTATCCTCTGCTTCGAGCTGTTGCTGCTCATTTCAAGCAGAACTTCGGGGAGATGGAAGTCCCCGTTAGCGTGGGGGGGGCTCCTGTCTCCCACCTCCTTTATGCTGATGACATTCTCTATTTTGCAGGTGCTTCCTCGGTGAATGTTAGGAGAATTGTTTCCATTCTAACTGATTACTGTTCGTGGATAGGTCAGAGGGTGAACCGGACGAAATCAGCGGTCTTATTCAGCAAACGAACCCCCACGCCGACTAAGGCTCGGTTGACTAAGCTCCTCGGTTGCTGCAAAGTGGATGAATTAGAATATCTGGGAATCAAGTTTGCTATTAGACGTCTAAATAGGCGGGACTTTGCACCGCTGATCCATAGAGCGCGTGAGCACACGCTTAGCTGTGGTATCAGACATCTCTCTATGGCTGGGCGGATTACTCTGATTAACTCGGTTTTGTTTCCGTCCTTGATGTTTCTGATGACCCATACCATCATCCCTAAGGCGGTTCTCAACGACATTGAAAAGCTCTGCCGGAGCTTTCTTTGGGACAAGGACTCCGATCATAGGGGCTTGCACTATGCTTCCTGGGACGAGGTGGCGAGGGCAACATGCAAGGGTGGGCTTGGTTTCCATGCCAGCGTCAAGTGGATTGGTTCCCTCCTGGCTCGTGTTGCCTGAAATGTCATTGGGAGTCCGACGGGGTTACTCCAAAGATGCCTAACTTACAAATACGGGGATAATCTGGGGACCAATGGATCACCGCGTGGTCACTCGAATTGTTGGAAGGTGATATGTGACGGAGCCAAGTGCTTGGAGTAGTGCGATCCGCTGGCGGATTTGTAATGGCCACAACATTGATGTTCTGTATGATACTTGGATTTGGGATAGAACCCTCTCAGGTTGGCCCACATACTGTGATATCACAGTTATTGAAGATCTTTGTGTTGATGATTTCCTGCTGGAGGACGGCACTTGGGATAGGCCGAAACGCTTCACCTGTTTCGGGGAGATGCTTGTGGAGAATATTTGTGAAATACCGATCGAAGTGGGAATTGGCTCCGACTGTATGGAGCTTATCAAGACCCCTTTGGGTTCTACAATCTCTGCCAATGTCTACAACTGACTGTTTGATGAGGAGGATAGCCCCGTTTGCACGATTTTGAAGCTTGGGCTGCGTCCACGGGTGTGACTATTTTGGTGGAGAGTCTACATGAACAGGATTCCTACTAATGAGTGGTTATGCGGCCGCAAGTTCCAGGTTGACCCGCATTGCTCTCTCGGTTGTAATGAGGTCGAAGACCTTGATCACATTACCACCCGCTGCAGGGGTTTAATCGCCATCTTTGATGCTCTGGGTGAATGGGGTTTCACGATGCCCCGGTTTACATCTCTTGCTGAGCTTCAGGATGAGTTGTCAAGAAATAGGGACTCCCACGACGACTGGAGGCAGATTTATTGTGTTACGGCTCACTGTAGCTGGACGAATAGAAATTCACATAAACATGGAAAAGGGCCTCTCCCCCCAAAGAATTTAGCTGCCACGGTTCTTGAGGTGGTCAATCTGAACTTTTTCTCTCTTCCCCTGGAGCAACGGGATATCTTTCAATCCTCTGGATTGTTTTTACCATCCACGTGATGTCCCCCCCCTACAGGCTGGTTGAAGATCAATTTGGATGGCGCTCTCAGAAGATCCAACATTGGCGGGATTGGTATTGTCATTCGGGATGATCGGGAATCCTTAATTAAGGCGGCGGGTTGGGGAATCACGCACTGGGATAGCACGCAGGTGGAGCTTATGGCATTCCGATACATCCATAAGCTTCTTCTTGAATGGATGTTCGAGGATGATGGGATTATTATTGAGGGTGACAACGCAAGTGTGATCCAATTTATGCAAGCATACAAGGAGAAGGAACAGTGGAAACTTCAGACTAGGAATTGTGCCGAGCTGGATTGGCTCCTACAAGTCCGGAATCTTTTGTTTGTCCATACATACAGACGATTTAATAGGGCGGCCCATTTTTGTGCTAAAAGGGCCAGTCATGGTTCTTTTTTTTTTTTGGATTATGGGGATAGATACAAAGAGTATATTCCTCAAGTTTTTTTTTGTATCCTTGAGGAGGATAGGCGGGATTTCTCGCTAGATAGGCCCATGGGCTATTAGATTTTCTTTTTTTTGTTAGCTTTTTTGTTGGACGCATTGTAACCCCTTTTCTTTAGAATGCAAATGCAAAATTTCAGCTCTCCCTCTCCCTTTCTCTCTCCTTCTCTCTCTCTCTCACTCTCTCTCTCTCCTACATTTTATTCTTCATCTTCAACTCCTCTCTCTCTCTCTCTCTCTCTCTCT